CGTTTGCACTTCATTTTCAAAAATTAACCTGTTGCGAGCGTTCCAAATGAAGTAGACCGTCGCTACTAAGGCTGCCTTCTTTAGTTTGGCATGCCAAGATTCCCCTCGTGCCTCTCTTTTTGTCCATTTCAAGGCGCCTTGAAGTGTCAATGGCCTATGGCGCAATCCAGCCCACTTGCGAATCTCGCTCCAAATTTGGGTGCTATATTGGCAGGCGAAAAAGAGGTGTCCCATTGATTCCTAGGCACTGTTGCACAAGCTGCAAGTTGGGTCTTCGTCCCTGAATTCCAGCCGGTCTTTGGTGCGGAGCCGATTAAGGACTCCTAGCCACGTGATAAAAGAGTGTTTGGGTGTGTTGGCTGGGCCCCAAACAACTCCAGTCCAGTGAACAATATTGCCCCTCGGTCGTAAAAATTCATAGCATGCGCGTGTCCCATCTCGTTGCCCCCCATTTCTCCATTTGTGCAAGAGTGCGGCTGCAGCATGTTCACTCCCGGCCTTTGCGATCAGGGCGTTACGGGTCTCAAATAAGCTCTTGAAAAGTGGTGAATCATTCTTTTTTATCGTCCAGTCCCAAATACTGCTGCCTTTGAGATAGACTTGGTCAATCCACTTGTACCAAAGTGTATCTTTTTTGCCTTGAATGATCCATAGCGTGCGCATGAGCAAAGCTTGGTTCCAGGTCCTTAAGTCTCGGAGTCCTATTCCTCCCTCCAAGCGTGGTAAACAAATATTATCCCAAGCGACGTTTGCACTCTTCGAGCCCCAAAGAAATTGCCTACAGAGTTGGATAACTTTGGTACGAACAAGTGTCGGTGGCTTAAAAATGCTCATCCAGAAGCATTCAATCCCTTGAATAACCGAGCGAATAAGCTCAAGTCGGCCAGCATAAGATAATGTATGAGCATGCCATGCCTTGATTTGGGATTCAATATTCTGCACCATATCATTAAACAGATTCACGGTTATACGATCCGCTGTGAGAGGGACTCCCAGGTACCTAAAAGGCATTGGTCCGCATTGTAGTTGCGTGTCATGAAGAATTGATGCACGCCTGGCATTATCCAAGCCTGCCAGATAAATGTTGGACTTATAGATATTCATTTGGAGGCCCGATTTTGCCTCGAAATCTTTGAGGCAGCGCATAAGAATTTTGATGGACATTGGGTCTCCTCTGGAAAGAAGCATTAAATCATCGACAAATGCAAGGTTCGTGATTTTGGGGCATTCGCACATCGAGTGATAATTAAAATGAGAACCCTCTCTAGTGTTATATGCGATTAATCTTGAGAGATATTCAATGCAGATCACAAAAAGGTACGGAGATAGGGGGTCACCTTGCCGAAGTCCACGTGCTCCTATAAAATGCCCCTTTAGACTCCCATTGACTGAGTTTGAATACGAAGGAGTTGTGACACACTCCATAATCAATTTCTGGAAGGTTCTAGGGAAGCCAAGGCTTGCAAGCATTTGTTCCAAGAAAGCCCAAGAGACCGTATCAAAAGCTTTACGCAAGTCAATCTTGATTGTGCACCTGGGGGATACTCGTTTCCGTGCATATTGCCGGAGGAGTTGCTGCATAATGTGAATATTGTCGGACATATTTCTTCCCTTCACAAAAGCTGCCTGCACCTTGTCAATGATTTTGTCAAGGACTTCACTTATTTTGCCAGCAAGTAGCTTAGAAAAAATCTTGTACAACGTGTTACAACAAGCGATGGGCCTGTAATCTGTTACCGATGATGTGTGGGTGGACTTGGGCACCAAAGTGAGAGCAGTGTGGTTCCACTGTTTCAGTAGCGAGCCCGATTGAAAAAATTCTTGAATTGCCGCAGTGACATCCACTCCCACAATGTCCCAGCTTGTCAAGAAAAAAGAGGATGTATATCCATCAGGGCCCGGAGATTTATCTCCTGCTATGTCCTTGAGCGTAGCTTTGATATCTTGTTCGCTTACTGGTGCCATAAGCAAGTTGTAGTCGGCATCTGATAGGCAAGCACCGGAGGAAATAATATGATGGTCAATGTCCTCGGTTTCAGCCCCCGTCCCTAGTAGCTGCTTGTAGTAGCACACGAACTCATTGCCAACTTCTTCAAGTGAGGTGGTAGGTGTCCCATCTTCACGGGTGATTGAGGGGATAAAGTTGCGTTTAGCCCTCTTTTTTACCATGGCATGATAAAATCGTGTGCATTTGTCACTCTTAATCTGAAAGTGACACATTGCCTTTTGCTGGAAGAACAGCTTTTCAGATTTTGCCAAATTAATGGCTTGTAGCCTCAGGTTCGGCATCTTGGATTTGGTTTCATTGTCATCTGGGTGATCATGTAAAAATTGGTGTGCACTCTTTAGGGCAGTTTTAGCAGCCTTTGCCCTAGTAGAGATGTGGGAGAATGACTCCTCATTGAGCTCCTTAAGTTTACTCTTTAAAGTTTTCAGTTTTGTGCTCAGCCGGAATTGCATTGTTCCTGTGATGTGTTGCCTCCAGATAACTTCAACATATGGGATAAAATTTTCATGATGAACCCACATGTTGAAAAATCTCCAAGGAGTGCCTGCAGTGCTCCTTGCCTCAAAAATATTGACAATACAAGGGGAGTGGTCTGAAATTCCCGAGGGTAGGAAGTTAGCATGAGCGAAAAGGTTGGCCTGTTCCCAAGCATTGTCCACCATTGCTCTGTCAAGCTTAGACCATACCCGATTATTGGTCCAAGTATGAAATAAACTAGTTGATGGGATGTCCACTAAGCCCAAAGAGGTACAGAGATCAGCAAGGTCTTGGGTGTCCCTACTAGTGACTCTTTCTCCATGAACCCTCTCGTCCGCCTTGAGGATGCTATTGAAGTCACCAAGGAGTAGCCAAGGTAATGTGCTACTCGCATGAGATAGCTTGAGAGATTCCCAAAGATGCTTGCGTTCGCCTCTTGAATGCAGTCCATATATAAAAGAAAGCATAAAAATCTGCTTACTAACCTTGCAGTGGAGAAAAGCAAAAATGACCTGTGGCAAGTTGCTTTGAACTGTAAGGTCAACTTTCACCGGATTCCAAAGGATAGCAATACGCCCGTGATCATTAACTTCAAAATTATCACAAAAAAACCCAACCCGGCAGCCGCTTGTTAACAAAGAGCGAGAGGCGCCTGTTGTCGGTTTTAGTCTCCAAAAGTCCCAAAACATCTATGTTATTCTTGCGGATGAGGGTGGCTACCTCATCCTGTTTTAGGGGCGCGTTGAAGCCCCTAATATTCCATGCGGCTATAATCATTGTTTTGAGGAAGGACCAGAGCCCTTCTTTGGTTGGTTGTCCTTGACAGTATCTTTCCTCACAAAGAGTTTGTCTTTCAGTTTTGCAGAAGCTCCTGCTCTTATTGCTATCTGCTGCACGGGTTTGCCTTGCTTGGCTGGCTTGTTTTTCTTGCCAACCTCTTGGAACGGTTCTTCATCTGGCTCAATTTGAGAATAGACAGAGATTTCTTGGAAACCCTCATTTGCTGGATGTGGGTTTGATGATGATGGTGCATCTGGGTTGTTGTTTGCCTCCAGAACCTTAGGCTCAGGCTTGGAAGCCTCTAATTCAATCATCTGCTCGTTTGGCTCATGCCTCTTGTCTTCTGCATTGGCCTTCTTGGTGGAGGCCTTTGTAGATGGCTTGGTGTGCTTGGGTGCATTTCCAGGTTGGTCATCACCCATGGTTTTGTCACCTTCAGTTGCAACTAGATTGGTGCCTTGTTTGGGTTTTTTACCCTCGGCTTTCGTTGTTGCGTGTCCCTTGTATTTGTTGCATTTTGAAAGTGGGTGCGCTATGTGTTTACAATGACTACAGTAAGGTGGCACGTATTCATACTCCACTTTCTGATCGAATTTGTTACCATCTCTGGTGGTGATTGGGATGATGTATACTCTATCTTTCGATAGATCCATCTCCACTAGGACACGAGCGTAGCTGCAACGCTCTTGTGTTGCTGTGATTTTGTCGGTTGCTTTCGGTTCTCCCACGTAAGATGCGATTTTCCCAAGGGCCTTGGGATTGAAGCATTCTGCGGGTAGAAAGGGTAGATTGATCCATACCGGGACCTTGTTGGCATCATCGTCTCCAAATTGGAACCACTTGGGAAGCTCCTTGAGTATTAATCCTCGCCCATAAATTTGATACGGACCTTCAGCTAGCACCTTGGCCCTATCTTCAGCAGTCTTGAATTTGAAAAGGATCCAACCATTGACATTTGGGACATAGTCGTATTGGACCTTCCAGTCATTGCATAGCTGCAAGAGTGCCTCTTTGCCTGGGTGTCGATGGGTAAAATACCCTACGAGGCAGAACCCCCCAGGTGCGCGTAACATCTGAGATGTCGTCATTGTCAAGAAATACACCATCCTTTCCAGGTGGGGTGTGGGTTAATTTGAGGCCTAGTGATGGTTTACGATTATCATCAAAGAGTGATGCAAACGGCCTCTTTCCAGAGACAGGATTCTTTTGGGACATTTTATCGAACACATCGTGGGCATTGAGCTTGCCTTGACTTTTGTCTGTGTTATGTTTAGCCTGTTGCCCATCTGATTTTATATCAGCAGCTGTATCCACATTGTCAACATCATCAGCAGGAGCATGAAACTTACCATTGATACCAAGTAATGAAGCAGTGCTACATGAATAGGCAGGAGTTTCACTTTGACCCTCTTGCGTCTTTTGCGCAGCAATTGGGCTGCTAGGCGTTGAAGTGTTGCCTTCTGGAGCGTTTGAATCATCTTCAAGTTCTTGCTCATACTCAGGTTCATCTCGTTCATAAGAGCTTTCAAGCTGTAGGAGACGGTAGGTTGTTCTCCTTCTTGACTTAGGCATTTTTCCAAGATAGCGCAGATATGACTGTTGGGTTACTGTAGCAGCTGAACCCTAGGTCACGAACATGCTTAAAATCGTGCCCCCAATTTGGATTATTGTATGCTTGGAGCTCGGAGGTAGATCGGGAACACCTAGCGACTGGAGATAACAACAAAAATCGTTGATGCTAGCAGAAAAATCGCAACAAGGGATCGCGAAGTACTGTAGCACCGCGAACGAAATGGCACAGAAATGCTTGAAATCACGCCTAAGGAAAGTGGATTTATGCTTGAACAAGCTCGGAATGGAGGTTAAACAGCCGAGAGTGTATAATTTCAGCGCAAAAACACATGAAATTGAAGGAAAATGAGCTCAAGGAAAGGCAAGGTCCTAAGATTCGTGAGTTTCTTAGTGAGAGAAGCTCTCAACTCTCTCTGAGAGCTCTTTCTTGATTCTATGGGTGGTGGTGCATGGTCGTTCTTAGTTGGTGGAGCGATTTGTCTGGTTAATTCCGTTAACGAACGAGACCTTAGCCTGCTAACTAGCTATGTGGAGGTATCCCTCCGTGGCCAGCTTCTTAGAGGGACTACGGCCTTTTAGGCCGCGGAAGTTTGAGGCAATAACAAGTCTGTGATGCCCTTAGATGTTCTGGGCAGCACGCGCGCTACACTGCGAGTCTATAGCCTTGGCCGACAGGCTCGAGTAATCTTTGAAATTTCATCGTGATGGGGATAGGTCATTGCAATTGTTGGTCTTCAACGTGGAATTTCTAGTAAGCGCGAGTCATCAGCTCGTGTTGACTACGTCTCTGCCCTTTGTACACACCGCCCGTTGCTCCTACCGATTGAATGGTCCGGTGAAGTGTTCGGATAGAGGCCCAATGACCTTGGGATTAAAGCATCTCTTCCAACCCTTCGAGTTGAGGCTCTAAAGCTTGCCAAGGCTGAGAAGCACTTTTTTCAGCAAAAAGCTAAGTGCAACTTTCAAATCAAATGGGACAAGTGCACGGGCTTTTATCACGCCATTGTCAAACGAAATGCAAAGAAAAACTTTATTGCCTCAATCACAAAGGAAAATGGCAGCCGAACCAACTCCCTTGAAGAGATCTCGAAAGAGTTTGTAAGTCACTTTGAAAAGCTGCTAGGGACTGAGGTCTCAACCGAGGATATCGACCCAATTGTTATCCGAGATGGCCCGCTTATCACACAAAAGCAGCAAGAGTCACTTCAGGCCCCAATCTTAGAATCCGAAATAAAGGCAGCTCTGAATGATATTGAAACTAACAAGGCACCGGGACCAGATGGATATGCATCCATGTTTTTTCAAAAAAGTTGGGACATTGTAGGGGCAGATCTTGTCGCAGCCGTACAAGAGTTTTTCAGAAATGGGCACCTTCTTAGGCAATGGA